GTAACCATTATAGCATAGTACAAGCTATGAGCCATATGTGAAGAAATTCAAACACTTCACTTCTACCTGAAGTTTGTGCTGATGATTTCGTTCAGAGGAATGATGAAAGCTCTACAACTAAACCATCCAGCTCAAAGAACAATACTCCATGAAAATATAACACAAATGTTTATTTCAATAAATTAATTTAACAGTTAATTTTCTTTTACATTTATAATGCCTAGACTAAGTTGTCTCACCGTTGTTCGTAAAGAAACACGATTAAATTATTGACTTTTTAATAATCATATCTTTATATAAATACATATAATTGATTTATAATGCTTTCCATGTTCCAATCAATTCACACACTCACTTCCTTGTGTTATCTTCGAAATTATGATCTAAATGAAGTAATAAACTTTTTTGGGTTATACAAGTAAAACTATATGCTTTCTGTATCAAACAAGCGTATATCATATAAACAAACACTTGATTTTTTCCGTTTGTTTTAACGGTTCATTTATAAACAACAGTGAGTTTGTAAAAGTGGAGAAAATATGTTCAATCATTAGTGTTATTTAGTTATTTGTTTAAACCTTTACTCTCATTTATCCATGTTCACACATTATTTAAGACATCAAGTCTTGAGTTAGATTATAAACTACACTTATTTTTTTTAGGGGGGGGGAACTAATCAGTCAAAATCTGTTTGGCTAGACTAATATCAAAAGTGAAATAATCATTGGTTGAAGTTAGACATTAACACCGTTGGATGCCGGCTCACTGGTCTAATGGTTAAGTGCTTGCGCGCGAAACCAGTAGGTCCTGGGTTCGAACCCCGTGGGGCGCGGGATCGTGGGTTCGCACTGCTGAGAAGTCCCATACTAGGACGAAACGGCCGTCCAGTGATTCCAGGTTTTCCATGATGGTCTAGCTTCAAATGACTCATGATTTCAATCAATCAAATAATCATTTCATTGAAATAATTTACCATGAAGCTATTTACCAATTCCTTAACAAAATTCACACATACAAACGTTGATTGTTGAAAAGTGTTTTAAAACTTAATGACATCTATCAACATTTACTTTTATGCAATAGAAGTTATAAACACAGAGTTTCTTAAACCTTGATTCCTACAAGAGTATGTAGTCTTTTTCTAATGCTACTACATACTTCAACTCATACTTAATTTAGCACTTCAACCCAGAGATAACAATTAGGATCTGTTAAGCTTTAAAGAATGAACACGTCTATCTGATGTCATGAAGTGGACATATTAATTTTAACTCTTTTTAAATTTCAGAAAGTTTTAATAGAACAGTAAAGATATCAAACTTAACGTAGATAGAATATAGATACATATGATAAGTATCTTTTAAGAAAAGTAACTGCGACAAGTGATCATTTCAGACGTTTCCAGCCGGAATTAATACTTAATAGATCTGGATTCTAGTTGGTTGAGATATACGTCAACTATTATGAATATAAGATGCTGGAATCCAGAGTTGTGTAGAAAAATATGATTTAAAAGTAGATAATGTTTTTATGGATACACGTTTGTACCCCATCGTTTTATAGCTGAAACGGCTCAACACTCAACGATTGGAACAATATCGACTAGTATAGTTTATATTTCAAGTGTTTGTAAATTTAAACCACAATATAAGCGATGTTATATGAAGTTGTATTATTTCAGTTGTTATTTGTCAGATCAACTTATGCAAAGATCATTTTCATTGCAAACAAATTTTGTTTAAACAGACAATGGAATTAAAAAGTGAGGAAGTTATTTCTGAGGTAATAGTGCTTTTTTATTCCAACTTATGTAACTGGCATTCGAAGCTTCTTTTTGATATTCCTCTGTACGTACTAGATCAATCTAATCAGTCAATGAATTGAAGCAATCAATCACTTTCCATTGATATAAGTGCGTGCATTTCCTCACTCCATTACTATATTAATCCCGTTAGATGGATTCTTCCAGCTTTAAATTTATATCATAGGATATATTTTCAGTTATCGTTTTCAGCATCTTCAACTGAAACTAGTTTAGATAATAATCAGAGAAACATATAAATTGTCCAGATAGATTAAGTATTGTATTCATTTTTATATTTTATCTGGTATATTTGTGACTCTAAATGCAGATATTTTAAGTGATACTTTCATTGTAAGCCTCAACCGAGATCGAACCTGAGATATTCAAATCTAGCAAACAGCATCTTTTATCTTATGTACATACCAAAGCAGTTACAATTCTAACGTATATTAAAGGGAAACTTAGTGAATTATCATACAATCAATGCTGAGAATTCCTTACAGTGATTTTACCAGTCAATGAATTTATAATGTACTACTATCAAGCAAGGGTTAAGTAATCAGAAAACTATACACAATTTTTGAATTAAAGATCTAAAAGACTCAGTAGTATCTTTAACATTCATACAATAAGATAATTAAAAACAAAGCATGTAAAAAACTTAATCTTACGTAAATATCATTACCAAGGTTTGACTTGATAATTTTGAATAAATTGAGCATTGGGTAGATTGTTATAAACAAAGTAATATCCCAATAAGTAGAAAAATTAAATTTTCTGACGTTTCGTGACTCAGTGTAGGCTGCTTCTTTAGACAATAAGTAACCAAATCAAAATTAATCGAAGTTTAATTAGTACAAAGGAACAACACAAGAATCTTATGTGCGATTAATTCTCTGAAGAAGTGGCTTACATTGAGTCACGAAACATCAGGAAATCTAATTTTCCTATTCGTTGGGATATTACAAACATATGAATGTATCTATGAATCTTACGTAGTCTTAGCTTAAATAACTTGTAAAATTACAAACCACTACTGATCATATTGTTATAATAATATTGTCATTATTACTATTATTAATGACTTTATTCAATATTATATTTCGGTACAATATAGAATTCTCAGCGCAAGGTATTTCAACAAGTTTCTTTTACAAAAAAACAAAAACAAAGACGAAAAAGAAAGAAAAAAAGGCTAAAAAAATCTAAAAGACTGTCCAACTTTCCAAATTAGAGACATTTTAAGAATGCAGGACATTGACTAGGTTAACTCTAACAACTTGTTCGTCACAGAGTATATTTGCTAGGTAAGGTGTTATAGAACTTTTATACTCTTTCTTGCGTGCATGCATTTTAATGTAATTACGTCTTGTTCTACCAGAAGATATACAAGGAGAAATATATGAGTGAAGTGGATGGTTAGTATCTGATAAAATAACACCTTCCAGGAGTTTGCATGACTTTAGATGTCCATCCACAACCATATTAATTATGACATCGAAAGAGCCACTACACACCTTGCTAACTGCCTTCAGCAATCTCCGCAATACAGCAAAGTTTTTTCTGAAAAGCCCGGGAAAGAATAATGGAGAACAGCAAAGAATAATAGGTAATATGCAAGGATTGACAAATTGTAAGAGTAAATGACGGGTAATCTCAAGAGTATGCAATCTTTTTATGTAGTAAGTCAGACGGAAAACCTTCTTTGATAACAATAAAACGTGAGAAGACCAAGAGAGATCATAGGAAAAGGTAACACCAAGATAATTGACCTTTGACACTGTGTTTATCAAAGAGTCTCCGATGACACACGCATTATGGGATTCCAAAGTATTGTTTAGATGTCGTTCATGTCTCATGCTAAAATTAAGAGGTTGACATTTAGACGGATTAAGTATAAGACCATTAAAAACGGGCCAACAATCAATACGAGACAAATACTCATTCATTTCTATGGGATGTAAGGAGGCAGAGGTAGACATATATACAGTGAGATCATCCGCATATTTCACAAAAGTGTTTACTACGGAAGATGGCAGATCATGCAGAAAAGAAAAGGTGAAAAAACGGCTCCTTACGGTACACCTTCATGAGACAGTAGAGACTCTGAACACTTTCCTCCAAACACAATGTACTGTTCCTTTCCAGAGAGGTAGGAACATAACCAGTTGGTTATCCAGTTGTCAGTGTTGACCTGATGATTGTATAACATTTTGGCGTTTTCTTATGTAGAATTATTTATATTTAAAGCTTTATTTTTTCCATTTTAAAACTATTTTCTGTATTAAAAAGTGTTGAAACATTACAAATTGAATATAGATCTGATAAACTATTTACCGTTTATTAGGTAATGGTCAAAAGTTCAATGATATTGACTGTTTAAGGAAATTTGTTTAAATCATCTATTAATTATTGTATTTTACTATTTTTACCTAATAAATAATTTCTATTCTTGATTGAATATTATGATATACAACTATAATGAATAAGAATACAAATGAGGGCAATCGAATGTATTTGAATAGAAAATTATAGAACATGTTAGTAGAATCTGAGAATCATACAGTAAATAATTCATTTGGAAAATGTCAATCGATCATCTAAGACTTCATTGTTCTTTCGTTTCCACACCAATCATTTTTTTGTTCTTGTTATCTTTTCTTCCATCTTCTTAACCTTCTGCTACCAGGTATTTCACTTTTAATTGATGATACATACTACTTATATCTGTCAACATCAGTAGCATACACCACACACCTAGTAATGTTATCTTGGTAAAAATTATTTGCTCATAGATTTTGTTTTAATGGTATTAATTTAGTTGAAATTGGGAACTCTTTTTACTTCAGTCTTATGGTTATTCAGTCATCAACTTAAAACACTGCTGATTTTTCATATCCACTTTATCAATAATGTTTTTTCCCTCAATAATCTATCATCCATACACATAATTTCTTCAAAGGAATATGTCATTATATGTTTTTAAATCAATCTATTCAAGTAGATCTTCAAAGTTTCATTTCAAAGTATCCTTGTCTTAGAAGAATAAAAGTACCATTAAACATGATTACTAGAATTAATTTCTTAATTAGTAACAGATTGTTAACTTTTAGGAGCAACTAAACCGTTTAAAACATATTTTATTAATTATGATTTGCTTAACAATAATTTCTTTTTTATATATTTTCAATTTCAGGAATCTAGGTCTTTTATCTTGGAGAACAATTCATCAAAGTCCTGCATTTCTTCTAGCACCAAAACCACTTTGTTTACGTGTTCAAGGCTTGACACATTCACAAGCTCAATTATGTCAACGTTATTTTGATCATATGCCTGTGATAAGCATTGGTGCAAAATTAGGCATTTATGAATGTCAACGGCAATTTCGATTTAGACATTGGAATTGCAGTTCTGACAATGAAGCTTCAGCATTTGGTCCAGTAACTTTAACAGGTTAGTTTATAAATTAATTTTACTATTTTTAATAAACGATTGATTTGCCACAGAAAAAGTCTTGAATTTAGAGCTTTATTATGAGCGAAAGATATGAGTAACTGACTTATTGATTGTTTGGTATTGGTCAATAAAAAGTGTATTCTCTGAACCAAATGGTTTAATCATAAAGCTTCTATTGTCTTTCGAGGCATCCTTATTTACACAAACTTCAGATAGAAGTGGGCGATTAGATTTTTTGACAAACGACTAATAACCTTCTTTGTCAACAATAAATATGACTGGGTGTTATCGACACTCATTTTATTATTGTCTCCATATTCATTTTGACTGTTTTCCCCTTGTAGCTGTTTACAATGTTTTTATCTGGTTGGTAAATTGAATCTATTTTAGTATTTTTACTCATTTCTAACTGATATGAAGGGAAGGATTCTGAAAGTAATCTAGTGTTCTCTGCATTCATTCTATTCAAGACTGCCGTTTTCCCATCCAAACATATATGCAAAATTGTTTACGTGTATTGATGTATGTAACGATACGTCGTGGAGTTTGCATGAAATATATGAATACAATCCATGGATATCAGTACACTAGTATACAGTGAGGCTCTTGATCTATATAAGTTGTATTCAACTATTTGAGGAAATAGGATATACATCCACATTGATTACACAAATATCATACTTTCTAATCTCAAGTACTAATTCTTATATTTCGAATAAAGAATTTTTGATAATCAGTAAAATATTTGCTTTTGAGAAACTGGATCTTCTGACTCTATCAAAAGCAGAAGATGAGAGAGAATTCTTAAAGTTATTCATGAAAATTATCTCAACTCCAAACAAGCATGAAGATTCACTTTATTTGATTTAAGAAGAAACCATCAGATAGATGAATATCAGAAAGGATGAAATAGAATAAAAACACAAAAGGAGATTTAATGAACACAGTATACATTCTCAATGCAAATTACATTTCACAATTTTATGGTGATAGGAATTACATATTTGTTTGTAAAGCTAAAAACGCATTTCTGTCATATGGTGTTGTGGTATGTGCTATTTATATTGACATAAGTAGTATATGATGTTAGTCGTGAACAGAAGGTCTGGCAGCAGAGAGACAAGAGGATCGAACAGTAAAGAATGGAAACAGGATGCAATTTGTATGAAAATGTAAGAACAATGAAGTCTGAGTCATTTTGAGACAATTGATGGACATTTTGCAAATTAGGCATTTACTTTATGATTGTTAGATTTTATTAACAAGTCCTGTAATTTTGTGTTAAATACATTCGATTGTCCTCACTGGTGTTTTTGTTCACTACAGTATCAATAGTTTACCTTATGATCGAAATATTATATAAATTTCAATGAGGGTAATGGTCAGTATGTTACTGTTGTTTGAATAATCTTTTAATGAATCCCATTCTAATGATACATCCTTTTAAGATGATCCCTGAAAGTCATAATTTAATGGATTTATTTAAATAATAGTTTGGTACTTCTTCTCATTTAAAGGGTAAACAAATCAATAACATTTATATCAGAGTAAAAATGTACAGATATCAAACATCTTGACTTATGAACTGAAGTGAGTGTTTTCTTAATTACTTTGGAATAAGATGACTGATTTACAATACTTTCCTACCTTTAAAATTCATACGGTTTTTTTAAAAATTGAAAATGATACCAATGATAAGGGTCCTTATTAAAAGGATTGTTAATAATCTATTTTAAAGGCTATCATTTTAAGTAGTTTGCTTGAAGCAAATGACACAGTTTGAAAACCGTTCATTCATATTAAGGATACATTATGTCCTGTGTTCTCATCTATATATGTGATGTATTCTACTGATGTCGACAGATATAAGTAGTATATATAACCAGTCGAAAGTAGAATGCGTGGCAGTAGAAGGTTGAGAAAATTGAAGAGAAGATGATTAGAATAGAGACTGATTAGCATAGAAACGAAGTAACGACAACGTCTGAGACAGTTAATGAATATTTTGCAAACGAAATATCGCTGTATGGTCACAATTGATTGATCACTGGGTGGTGATCAATGTCATGTATGTCAAGTCCTTATTTAGCGCAGATCGAACGCTATCGACCATGTTGCAATGTGGCCACCAGTCTAGGTGACTCGACACTACGTGCACTATATATTGAGAATAGATGATGGTTAGAGGTAGTCACCAGGAAACCCTGAGTAATTTCTCAACCATAAAGTTTAAACGTCACACATGACATTGATCACTGCCCAATGATCAATCAATTGTAATTACATCTCAGTCCTACAGAAGGTCGGTCGCGACCCGGATAGCTCAGTGGTAACGTTTCTGATTGTGAAGCTGAGTGACACAGGATCAAACCGCCAGGGAGCACCAGTTCCCTCAAGATTACAGATACACCTTGCTGACGAGTGCCAAGTAGCACGAAACCCGGGTCCAGGGTTTCCTGTCGACTACTTCCAACCACCATCTGATCTCATTACTGTATGGTACCCACATTTTACCCAGATATTCTGTAATGTTATGTTAAAATATATTTAGTTGTCTCCGCATGTGTTCTCGTCCACTACAAATCTGTTTGTTAAATATCCTCTTCCTTGCTAAAAATTATTTCTAATGAAATGTCCACCTTACATTTATAGTATCTTGTAATGATTTCGATTAAAATAAACAAAATATTTACTGCAATACAAAAAATGTTTTCTGTTCAGATATAAAATCTTGTTCGAACTACAACAAAATGACGAACTGTTCAATTAAGCATTGTTTGCATACAATTCCTTTCTAAGTGCATATGATTAAAACACAGGTATATAACTAAGCGACATTCTTATCAAGAAGCTATCGTCAAGTTCTACAATTGCAAATAATCATAAAATTTGATGTAAATATATATATTACTAGTAAAATAAGTTTCCCATTTGAAGTTTGTAATCGTCAAAGTGGTCAATATTTAGTTTATAACTGAATTGGTCTCTAGGTCAACTGAGATTGTGAGGATAATAATCGGAAAATATACATAGGTCATGCAAAGTAAATGAAATAACAACGTATGTTGGAACAAGGATAACATTGTTTATGTAATGTTAGGAATGATACCGACCTTAATAAAGTATACTGGCCTTACGTCTGAGTATTCATTCTGACTATTAATCTGGACATATCACTGTAGAATTTAACAAGAATTTCTTAAAAAATGTATTGTTTGTTCATATGTCCATGTTAAAATTTAATCTCAGTTTTTTAAACAACCGAAAAATGTTACGTGTTGTAGTTTAAAATGTCATCGGTACTGTAGTCTGTCCAATAATTATAGCTTTTTAACTATTTACATTCAACACTATGTGGAAATGGATTGTACGGATCTTTTCGTCTATAATAATGTTGTCGAACTGCCTAGACATTGTCATCCAATCGCAAGTTTTTAATAAAGTTAGATAGTAACTAACTTCTTGGATTCAGGTGAATCCAGCTGACCAGTCCCAATACGGATGGAATACGCTTTCTGAATTACAATACTAGCCACTGTTCAACCTTACCAAGACTCTATCTAAACTTGTTAGTTTTCTCATCCTACTATGAGTTTGTTTAGAAAATTATTGTCGTATTTTAATGAAGACAATAAATAGCTATCGTATATAGGATTGTCAACTTCCCCTTCCATTTCTATACAATTTAACATTTCAGAAAGAATATTTCTAAAATAAACTACTCAATCATTTCTATACGTTCGCTTCTAACAAAAATTAAAGCCGATTCATTTTCTTCCTTTTTTTTTCTTTTCACATCACAAATGCATTCATTTAAGTAGTATTGAATTAATGCTAATTTCTTCTATTGAAACTAAAATAGTAATCATGATAAGGATGTTTAGAGATAAAATTAGACATTTTTATATTCTATAATAAATCATTCATTAATCTTTTCGATTCACTTAATTCTATTCTCATTTCCTATTTCGTTTGGCTTCTTCTTCTTCTTCACCTTCTTCTTACATAACTTGCTGAAATCAGACTAAACATCCCTTTTTATTAAAATACTCTGAATATAATTAATGGGTTTCATTCTTCTTTTTTACAGAATTAAAATGATTGAACTTCATTTATCACACTTCTACATTCGTTCTCTATCTCTGATTCACTTCATCTATTCATTTGATTGGATTTCTTTATTGTAATATATATACGTGTACTGAGATTCACGCATCATCAGAATGAAGTACCATCATTAGTTAATCTATTTCTCTTTGAAAAGACTAAGAAACTATAGAATTAGTGTTTACATTGTTCTGTGAAACTCATCTATACAAAACAAATACTCCATAAACTGTCGGATATCCGTTTTGCTTTTTAAAACAAAATTGAATAAATAAATAAATGAGAAAAAAATAAAGAAAAAAATGGTTGTAATGAAAGAACTTGAAAAATGATGTATAATACTAAGGAAGAAAACATTTTAAAATAGGGGAAAATAGTAACCCTTATAATGATTTCAATAATTGAGATCATGAGTGAATTGAAGCTAGATCATTATAGAAAATCGGGAAGCAGTGGATGGCCGTTTCGTCCTATTGTGGGACTCCTTAGCAGTGTGCATCCATGATAATTATATTGAATTTATTTACAATTAATAATACGATTTATCTTCTTTTTTTAGAGAAAAAAACGATAAACAAAACTTTGACAGTTTCACTTGAAATAGTCTAAAAAAGAACAGAGTTTTCCAGGGTATATTCTATGCTTAAACTATACTTAGACTAAATTAATCTCTTGTCTGGTATTTCATAAAATATGTAACGGATTCATAATAAATAACTATAGACCATATGTGTATATAGAAGTGTATATTTTAGATGAAGTTTTGTCCACTGAGCTGGATGATTTGGTCTTGGAGTTTTCATTGTTCATCTGAACAATATTATCAGCACAAACTTCAGGTTTGTGTATATTTACCTGAGCTACAAATTTTCTCTATCATTTTAAGTGTA